TTCATGGCAAAAAATTTAAGTTGTTAAAGTAAGCCAATTTGCTGGGCAGTGTCTAGAATCAAAGACATTGTTAAAATAGTTTTTGTCTTTCAAAAAAATGTTCACACTGAAAAACCAAAGCTAAAATTCTCAGATTGTCTAGGTAAATTATTTGATAGTTTTTGAATGAATACCTTATTTAACATTTTGTTTGAGTCATTAGTATAATACTACAAGTTCTCTTTTTTGAGACAGGGTCTCCCTGTAGCTACATCTGGCCTGGAACTCACTATATAGACAAGGCTGGCCTCTAGCTCACAGAGATCTGCCTGCCTCTGCCCCCCAAGTACTGGGATTAAAGGCATAGGCCATCTCACCTGGCAATACTACAATTTTTAAACAAAGGAATATTTCAATATTACTTAAAATCCCAAATAAGGGAGTCTAGAGAGAGATAGCTCAGCAGTTAAAAGCACTGGCTGCTCTTGCAGAGGACCTGGGTTCAATTCCCAGCACCCACACAGTGGTTAACAACTGTCCATAACTCCAGTTCTAGGGGATCCAATGCCCTCTTCTAGCTTCTGTGAGCATTGCATGCACGGGTACATTTATATGTATGCATGCAGGCAAAACACTCATATACATAAAATAAAAATAAATAAGATACATTTTTTATTCCAAATAAACTTGAAGATATGCTGGAACTCATTCAGTTCAGGCCTCACATCATTTTACTGTAGGCTGATGTACATTCATTTATATTATCAACAACTCAATTTATTTCTATAAATGATCAAATGCTCTAAAGGCTACAAAAGTCACATAAACATCTCATCTTTTTTTAAATGTGGAATTACAGAAAATTTCTACTTAAGAAAATCTTTTTTTTTTAATTGTGTTCCAATATTTTAGCTTACTCTTTTCAACGAATGCAAAAACAAACTGGATCACTGTCAGAGTCTTTCCCCATGTTTAATCATTAGTCTATCTGACTTCAGATGAAGCCTTAAAGTCATCTTTGTAAAGTAAAATGGGCTTGATAAAGCCCACATAACATTTCTGTGCTTCCCATTGAAGCATTTTATTTTAATAACAGACTTCTGTGTAATTAATCCCTGGAGTTTGCCATCACATAATCTACCCTGGGTATGAACTATCCTGTGTGTGTTTTTCTGGTAACAAGACCTGTGAAAACATAAATAAACAAAGACCAAAAGGAACAAAGAACAAGGAGACAAACCGTGAGAACCACAACCAGGCTCCTGTGCCTGTCAGCTGTCAACCTGTGAACTATCAATAAGGACACAAGGCTCGTTCCCTATTAGTAGAGACTGGGAAAAAGGAGTCTCACTTTAAGGAATGCTTCCCTTTGAAATGAAACTGCAATATTTCCTTATTTGGGCGCTAAAGCAATAAGGCAATCATAAATAAAGACTATGATAACCACTGCTGTTGAACTCAAGTTGGTTTTGAACTCTCTCTGTCTCTCTCTCTCTCTCTCTCTCTCTCTCTGTGTCTCTCTCTGTCTCATCTCTCTCTCTGTTTCTCTCTCTGTCTCTGTGTGTGTGTGTGTCTGTCTGTCTGTCTGTCTGTCTGTGGCCGTGTGTGTGTTAGAGTGAGCTTCTTCCATTTTTGCCTAATCACAAAGTTAGAATTTAGATAAGAAAATTCTTGTGAACTAAAACACAAAGTTAGGACTATTATTTCTCATTGAGTCATTTCACCTAACTTAAGCAATGTCCACGCAAAGGAAAACTACTATATATATAATTTGAAAATGTTTTTTAAGCTTGCAAAATTTGGGCCAGGGGGACAGCTTAGTGGGTAAAGTGTCTACAAATTGTCCTTTGACCTACATAAACACACACACACACACAGAGACACACACACGCACACACGCACGCACACACACACACAGTGTAAAAATAAACTTGCAGAATTGCACCTGAAAATGAAGGCAAACACAATTTTTGCTGAGTGACTGGGGGCCACACTGATTCCCTCTAAAAAAAAAAAATCCTATAAGAGCAGAAACTAGCAATTTACTCTAAGAAAACACAGAAAAAGCTGGGCAGAAATTTGAGGACACTTACATTTCCACAGTGGCACAACTTCTTCTGCCCAGTGAAAAAGGAAAAAAGAAAGAAACACCTATAACAGGATGGCAGGAGAGGACAAGCTAGTGAGGGAAAGACAGGCAGCTCCACTTTGTGAAGGAGGAGCTGACAGGAAAAGAACACAGGTCTGAAGCCTCACTCCCGCACATCACACAAAACCCAGAAGGCAATGCTTGTGGGAGATTAGACAGTGCACATCACACAAAGCTGAGGAGCTGTCAGCCCCAACACTGCCTCACAACTGACAGCTGCAGGGGCTACAAACCACCTTCACTTCAGAAACTGGCATTTCCACCAAAATAGGGAGCAGGGGTTACCTTAGTCAGAGGTTAGTTTTGAAGTGGATAATACTTTAATGAGCAAAAATAGAAACTTTAAGCTGTAACTGGAAAACTAATGCATAGCAGCTCTTGCTGATGACTTACACAGAGGGCATGGCCGAAAGACTCATTCATGGGAGAGTGGAATGTGAGCAGAGACAGCATGTTTCAAAGTCAGCATCAAAATGAGTGTCTGTTTAAAATCTTTGGGAAAACTTCGACCCAGCAATTCTGCTTGCATTGCCCATTCCACATAGAAGTTTATGTATATACATGTAGGAATGTCGGCAATACAAAACATTTAATTTAACTTAAAGAACCATCATTTGGGAACTGTTCAACCACACTGTGAAATTTTATACACCAAGAGAACACATGAGCTAACATATGAATACAGTTTATATATAGCATATCCATGTATTAAAAATATACATATGTATATGTTCATGTATATAGGTTTACATGCATATGTGTGGTACATATATGAAGAGGTACATATGCCTATTATTTAGGAAAAGACATTAGGAAAAGTATCTGAAAAGTAGGAAGGAAACACTTTTAATTGTATATGCTTACATTTTCAACCCCATCTATACACAGACATAGAGAGAGTAAACCTTATGGATAACATGAGAATTAGAAGCCCTCATAATTACTGTTCTATTAATACTGTTTTAAAAAGGCTTTATAAAACCTGCAATGGGATAGGATCTGTTAGAGATAAAATACCAAGAAAAATATTGAGAGGCAACTCTCTACAATCGTAAACAAATGCAAACCCAACCAAAATAAGCACCGGTTCGAGTAAAAGTGTGGTGTTCTGTTAAGCAAGAGAGGAAAGCTTATTCTCTGTTTTCAGATTGGGTGCCTCCCAAGGAGGCATGCCGGTTGATGACAGAAATATAAGAAAGTGAGACAAATGTCTGGCCAGATCTAATGTCTCTTACGCTCTCAGACAAACACATATATGAGCAATGCCATCAGGATACATATTAAGATGATATTGTTCAGCAAAGCTGGGTGTGGTGACCCACACCTTTAATCCCAGCACTCAAGAGGCAGAAGCAGGCAGATCTCTGTGAGATAGAGGCCAGCCTGTTCTACATACTGAGTTCCAGGCCATTTGGGGATACAAGAAGACCCTGTCTTAGAAAATATATATTGTACAGTAGAAATACATCTTTGAAAAAAAGCCTGCAGCAAATGAAGTCCTGAGAACATACGAAAATGAGAGTTTCAGCCCATTTACAAACTCTCGATGTGCGTTGTACATAGAGCAACAGTTGTCTGCTGCTCGGTGGGAATCAGCAACTTTTATTTCCAATGTTGTTGGAATCCTGGGTTTATTGGCCACTAAGGTCTAGATAGAACTGAGTCATAACTATTTTCTGGGGTCAGAAAATCACACCTATTTTGCCACAGCCCTTATAAGTGCTTACCTCTGACACCCATCTGCTCCCTTATCCAGACAGGTACTCAAAAACTTCCATGTACTGCACTTTTGCATGTTGTCTAGAAGCTGTGAAAACACCTTTCAATACATAGACACAAAACAGCCCACAACAGAAGACTATCCAGTGTCTCCCAGGGCATAAGCTATATTGATAGTCTAGAATCACTTGGCAGGCTCCTCCAAGGAGGTAAGAGTGGCCCTTTATTTCATCCTACTGTTTCTATGGAGGCTTAAGCTTAATCTCAGACACTTCCCTTTTCAAATGTCTTAAAAGAACTCTCTTTCAATCAGGAAACTGGCAACCCTTAGACAGCCAACCTGCCTAATTTAAATCTTTCCTGCTGAAACATCAAGGGCATGGGAAGCTGGTGGAAGGTGTTGCAAGTAGACACACAACATTGTTAACATCCTCATAAGGCCAGCCACGGCGACATTGCCCTGGCAAGGACATGCAGCGCCCCACGGCAACCCAGACACTAGTTCTCAGAAACTGTTCTGCTCTGCTTCCGGTATGGACATCTGAAAGGGAGGATGGCCCTGATTTTAATAAGCACAACTTACAAGAAGGCCACCTCTTAAGCACGCATCTCCTCTGTCATCTCCCTTCCTCATTCTCTTTCAATGGGCAGATGCCTACAAGTAAAGTACTTTCCCCTGAACACAGGGGAATTGGTATGCAGAGAAAGGGGATGGACTCCTCCTCTTCTTCCTCAGTGAACCCTTCTCGCCTCCCCAAATTACTTTCAACAACGGCCTGCCCGGATTCCCTCCGCAGGACCTCTCCTCTGCACAGGCAGGGGCAGGGCGAACTAGCCCCAAAAGAGGTGAGGATGCACCTTTAGGTTGCCCTCAGGAGGTCTCCCCAAGGGTCCCTCTACCTTCCAGATCGGCGTTTCAACAACGGCCCGCCCGGATTCCCTCCGCAAGACCTCTCCTCTGGAGAGGGCATCCTGCACAGGCAGGGGCAGGGTGAACTAGCCCCAAAAGAGGTGAGGATGCACCTCTAGGTTGCCCTCAGGAGGTCTCCCCAAGGGTCCCTCTACCTTCCAGATCGGCCCTGTCAGTTGCGCTGTGTCTTAAACTTGAGAGAAGGGAGAGAGGAAGCACACCAAAGCTGACCGCTTCCATTACCCTTTAAGCGCATCGTGTCCTCCGCCGCCTCTTCTCTTGGCCCGGTTGGCTCTGGTTTCCTTCACATTCCCAGCCTCCAGATTGGCATCCGCCCCGTGGCTCGTGTAGGATGCTAGGAGCATGCTGAACCCCAGCGCGACCTCCAGCAGCCCGTCTCGCCGCATGGTGCCGCCGCCTCTCACTCGCTCTGCGGCCGCCGCTGCGCCCCACAGCGCCCCGCACCGCGGGGTCCCGCTCTCGCGTCGCCGGTTCCCGGGCCGGGCTCCTCCCGCCTCCTCCAGCTGCGGCTCCCACTTGGGGCGTCCCTAGCCAGCTGCAACACAGACAAATCCCCAAGGCCGAGGAGACACTTAGGACACCGGGATGCTGACGCCCGTGGTCCCAGCTCCCGAGCCCAGCCCGCGCGCCGCCTGCGCGTGGCGCAGTTCCTTTGGGTTAGTGCAGACAGTCTGATCCGCATCTGGCTGCAGAGCCAGGCCCCCCAGTGGCAATGATCCCGGGACCCGCGGCCTGGCCCCGGCTGCATAGCACCGCGAGGTCCCCAGGTCCTTAGGGACGAGCCCGCTGTCCTTTTTTGTTTTAATGGCACTGATGGCGCGCGATGCGCGCTGCAACCCCCAGCTCCCCGGCCGATGCTCTCCGCCAAGCCACCCTAGCGCGGCCGCCACCTCCAGCTCCCGGCATCTGACGCTTAGCCGGGCACCCAGAGCCGGGTCAGGAAGCTGTCAGGTACAGGAGGGCCAGTCGGAAGTGGATGCTCGGGACAGTCCCCCACCCCTGCCCGATCCCTGCCCCCGACTCCGCGCAGACGTAACCGCCTCGGTGACTAGACCTCCAGCCCCGGTCGCCTCCCGACCTACGTCCGGGACCCCAGCTGCACCCACTAGAGAAGCAGCGGCTCAGGCTCCGGCCGGCGATGACTGGTCCTAGTCTGGTCCCAGCAGCCTGCTCCACTCCGCTAGCCTGCGCTCCGCCCGCAGCTGTCCCAGCTGTGGCCGCCTGTCCGCCTGCGGCACCCACAGTCTCAGCCCCGGCCCCGCGGCCCCCTCCTTTCCCACCTCTTCAAGTATCGTCCGCGCAGCGGTTTCTCGCGAGAGAAATACTTTAAAAAAAAAAAAAAGAAAGAAAGAAAAAGAAAATGACACCCCCTCCCACATCCCCCTCATCCCCACTCCACCCCCTGGCCCCATCCATCCTCCCTTTCCACTCCCCTTTGCCAGCCACCGCCTCTGCTCCGGGCCTCCCTCACTCGCAGGATTAGCGCAGTGGGAGGAGGCAGAGGTGAACCGTCCTGCCGAGCTTGGGATATTTCGTCTTGGGGTGGAGAAAGAGGGAATAGGAAGAGGTGGAGTAGCGGTTTAGCCCTCTCTGCGGCTGGGAGGTCTAGACCAGAGATTAGCCTCTCCCGTGATCAGGAAGCCCTCCGGCGTGGAAAGCTTGCCACCTGCACCAAGAATGCGCTCTGGACGTCCTGGACGCCGAGGCCGGGAGGCCCTGGCTGGAGAGGAGCCCTGTGCCGGTTGCCAGTGCCTCCCTGCACAGCCTCCCTGCGTCGTCCTGGTCCTGTGGAGTAGAAACTGCAGGCCCCAGTCTCAGGCAGAGCACTTTACAAGCCACCAAATCTGAGCTGGCTGATGGGCTGGTAGAGAAAGGGGCTTCAGTATCGCCGCTTGTCACGCCTTGCCAAGAGCTGAGTGGCTCTTCCAAGGCTCGGTCCAAGCCACTCACCCTGGCTAAAGCCGGGGTACTCAGAGTCTGAATCGGATTCTGAACCAGAGGCCTGTGATTTTGGGATGCAGGAAGCCCTTTTGCCCATCCCTCAGTTGAGAAGGCTGTTTCCCTGAAGAATTTTATTTATACACACAGACACACACACACTGCCCACTCGTGCACTGCACACCTGTCCCTAATATGCAGGAATACTGAATCAGTGACTTCAGAGTATATAGCATTTATGGCATCTTTTTATGTATAATGTCCAATGGTGCCTGCACTCCAGTTAGGAAGTTAGGGAATCCACATTAGGCTCTGGGTGCAGGAATCAGAGGACAGACACACACACACACACATACACACACACACTTCACAACTGTCAAGCTCAGCACAAACAAGTACTCTAAGAACTCATGCATTGTGTGATGAGGATATTTCTTATTTTCAATATTTTGTGCCCAGGTGTGAAGTTATAGGATGGAGGCAAGTTATTCAACTTCATCCCAACTGTGGGACTGACTACACATCATGATGATGGACCCACTGCACTTTGGTGATACCTGAAACTGTGGAAGACATAGAACAATTTAAATTCACTGTCCTTTAAGTATGTTGTCTAGTTTACGGTCTTACCTTCAAAAATCCTCTTAACAGATCCATGAACTGGAGATTTGGTCACACATCCTCAGTTGAGTAAAAAATCATTCATTCAAGGCCCGGGGGATGGCTCAGTGGATCAAACACCAAGTCCGATGACTCAAATTCCATCACCAGGACCAACACAGCAGAAGGAAAGAAAAGACTCCTGAAACTCCACAGTATGGCCATGGCATGCTCATGTGCACACACACACACACACACACACACACACACACACACTAAATGTAATAAAAAGCTTTAAAGGAATCACTTAAGAGGTAGTCACTGAGCACATGGATCATGGACAAACCAGGCTTACTGGTAAGCAAGGCAGGAGGTATGGTCTCCTCACCCAGCAGACAGTCTATGGGAAAATGAAGTCTTGAAACAAAGAATGGCCCGATTGTTAAGTGCCAAGAAACACAAGGTGCTTGCTTAGATGGTGTATGCCAAGGTGACTAGACCTAGGCTAAGGGTGATAGGGAAGACTTCCCTTCATGGAACCCTTTTAAAGCATGATTAGAATACCTGCAAAGAAGTAGCATCTTAACTATGGATACACAGTAAGATCTAGGAACTTAAAAGTCAGACACAAGCACCCAGAGTCTCTGATTTTAAAAGTTTGTGGTAGATCTTGACATGGGTATTTTTCAAAGTTCCCCGAATACAGAGGGGTGGTAAGGAGGGTGTTTAGGCTGGGAAAGGGCTCTGAGCAGAGGAACAAGGGGTCAGCAGGAATGGGGCTGGGGGAGATCAAGGTGGCCTTGGCTTGACCACTACTTATCCAGGCTGTTCTATGTCCTTTGAAGGATCTGCAAACTCTGACTACTTTCCCTGCACTCCAACAGAGACAATGTGACCCTCTCTCTTAGAGGCTGCCACCCAGTGACATGATGGATGAGAGCCACTGAGCACAGGGCTCTTCTGAGGTTTTTGCACAGGCACCACAGAGCAAACTCCAATGAGGGTTCCATTTATCTAGTGATGTAATCACCAAGCTCACCCCCAAAAGTGGAGGGCTTGAAAGAGCCTCTTCAGTCAACTTACCTGCATTTAAACTTTAGTTCCTCCTTCCCAGTCACTTCCTCACCACAGAGGACAATTTCTTGTACCAAAGGGGATCCGTATTTGTTTAATGAACAAATGAACTTCCTTTCTAGATGGCGATATGATGGTAACTTTAAAACTTCATCCCAGCCAGGCGTGGTGGTGCATGCCTTTAGTCCCAGCACTCGGGAGGCAGAGGTAGGCGGATCTCTGTGAGTTCAGGCCAGCCTGGTCTACATAGTGAGTTCCAGGACACCTGGGGCTACAGGGAGACCTGTCTCAAAAAGACCAAAAAAAAAAACAACTTCATCCCAGTCTTCCTTACCATCCCTGTACTATGGAAACACCAGCACTTTATGGTGGTGCATGCCTTTAGTCCCAGCACTCGGGAGGCAGAGGTAGGCAGATCTCTGTGAGTTCAGGCCAGCCTGGTCTACATAGGGAGTTCCAGGACCCCGGGGGCTACAGGGAGACCTGTCTCAAAAAGACCAAAAAAAAAAACAACTTCATCCCAGTCTTCCTTACCATCCCTGTACTATGGAAACACCAGCACTTTTCCAGGCCTTGACAGAGCTGGTGTGTCATGGTGCCTCATTGTGCCTCAGTTGTCCTATTACCCTCTCTTGGAAGTGAATGAAATGAACCTTAGCTGAGAAGATCGGAGAGTGAAATTAAATTGCCTGACTGCCAACATATACCTCCATGTACATTCTATGTTTATTCCTTAGTTCATTATTTACTTAACCAATTTAACCAAAGCCAACACCATATGCTGAATACCACGCCAGGAACTGAGCTCCACCAGTGAAAAGATATACTTTCACCAGGCAGAATCATGGGGCCAGGAGCCTCTGGTTCTCACAGCAGCCATTTCCTCATGCTGGCCTTTGTTTAGGCAGGCACTGTACTACGTATGTTAACTAGATCGTTCTTCTTATTTCAATGCATTTTGGGCCAATGAGATGACCTAATGGCAAAAAGATGCTTGCTAACAAGTTCAGTCACCAGATCTACATGATGGAAGGGGAGAATGGACTCCCTAAACTTCGGAGCTCCACCAGTGAAAAGATATACTTTCACCAGGCAGAATCATGGGGCCAGGAGCCTCTGGTTCTCACAGCGGCCATTTCCTCATGCTGGCCTTTGTTTAGGCAGGCACTGTACTATGTATGTTAACTAGATCGTTCTTCTTATTTCAGTGCATTTTGGGCCAATGAGATGACCTAATGGCAAAAAGATGCTTGCTAACAAGTTCAGTCACCAGATCTACATGATGGAAGGGGAGAATGGACTCCCTAAACTTTTCCTCCATGTGAGCTCTCCATGTGAGAGCATGTGCACACACATGTCCGCCCCCCCCCACACACACATGTGCAAAAAAATTAACATGGCATTCTTTTCTGTTTAATTTTTTTATCATTTTATGCGTATGAGTGTTTTGCTTGCATGCATTTAAGTGCACCACATACATGGAATGCCTTTGAAAGCCAGAAGAGAGAGTCAGATCCCCTGGAACTAGAGTTGTTTACGATTGATAGTGGCCATGTGGGTGCTGGGAACTTGGGTTCTATGCAAGAACAGCCAGGGCTCCAATTGCTAAGCTGTCTCTCCAATCCAGTTTGAACACATTCTTGTCTGTATATTTTACCCAGGATCCTAAGCAATGCCTACGTCAATGTGAAATTTTGGGTTTTTGTTTTTGGGTTTTTTTTTTTTTTTGGTCTTTTTGAGACAGGGTCTCCCTGTAGCCCCAGCTGTCCTGGAACTCACTATGTAGACCAGGCTGGCCTTGAACTCACAGAGATCTGCCTGCCTCTGCCTCCCAAGTGCTGGGATTAAAGGTGTGCACCACCACACCCGGCTGAAATTTTGGTTTTGTGAAAGAGAAAAGTGAAAGAGATCTTTAAAAGAATATTTTATTTGTTATTTTTATTTTATGTGTATGAGTGTATCGCCTGCATGTATGTAAGTGCACCTGTGCCATACAATGCCCGTGGAGGTCAGAAGAGGGTGTCAGATCCCCTGGAACTGGAGTTGCAGATGAAGCCAGCTGCCATTGGGTGCTGGGAACTGAACCTGGGTCCTCTGCAAGTGCAACCAGTGCTCTTAACTGCTGAGCCATCTCTCCAGCCCCAAGAGATATTTTTTTGAGGTAAAAATATACATGCTAGGAAAGGGACAAGAATATTTTTATTTCCATCATTTTTCAGACTTTTTCTTTATTGTGGAAGTATTTTAACTAATTTTTAAAAGTATGTTCCTATAATCCCACCATTCTAACACAACTGTTTATTTAATGTTTTGATTCTTTTGAGAATTTCATACATGAGTACTGTATTTACATAATTTTCCCTTCCTCTCCCACTTCCAACTCCTCCCGTGCTTTCCCCACTCCTGCTCAAATTCACAATCTCTTCTGTAATTATCATTGTTACATACATATGTGTATGTGTATGTGTGTGTATTTATAACCTACCTAGTCCATTTAGTGTTGTTCTTATGTACATGGGTTAGGGCTGACCACTTGGGACTGGGTAACCTATCAGGGGGCTCATCCCTGAAGAAAACCGATTCTCCCCCTCTTGGCAGCCGTTGATAGCTCTTCATCTAGGACTGGGGCCTTGTGAAATTTCCCCCATCCACATTGGCATA